CTGGCACCCTGAACATGCATACAGAACCAGGAAGAGCACCTGGAAACCAGTCCAAACATCATACTGTCTGTTAGATTAGTCTGTTAAGATAAATAAGAACCAAGCATGTAGATATGTGCAACTCCAAAACAGAATATGAGGGGCTTAAAAAGGAACCAAGATGTTCTCAAGAACACAAGGGTCCTTCATCCTCTATATAACGCTCTTAAGATGAAGTAAAAACCCATAGTTGCCCCCATACTCCATCAACAGTTGTCATGGGGTTATCCTTAGATGTAAGTCCGTGACAGGGGGCACAGGCCCCGCGCGGCCCCCCCCCCCCCCCGAGGAAAGAAGAGGTACTAACAGTTTGCCATGACCCAGCCAGCCCTGGGCAGCATGCACTCCGGGAGATGGGGAAGGGCAGAGAGCTAGCCAATAGTTTTAATGAAAACACAATGGCAACGACCTGAGGAGGAATGGTAATTTCCTGAATTTAACTAAGTCAAATAAAACGAGAGAGACGAGAGTATCCAAAATACGAGACAAATCACAATATTGCAAGGGAAAACACGTGCTTTTCTCCACAGTGAGCTGACATGGCTGAGCTGGAGCCAGAAGGAAAGAGGCAGATGCTTGGACCCTGTCCAGAGCTCCAGCCCATTCCTCTTCCTGCCAGGTCCTCCGAGGATGCCGCCCCCTCCCATCAGGATACTCAAACTACCCATAAAAGGCAGTAAATGGAACCAGAACATTAACTCGTTAACTCCCACTGGTCCACATGATGTTCTGATGGGGAATACTGACAACAAAAAATTAATAACAAAGCCACAACACAACTGCACCACTCAGCTTAGTGTTATCTGTGTACTTGCTGAGTGTGTACTCAATCCCAACGTCTAGGTCATTGAGAAAGACATTAAAGAGTACTGGTCCAAAAAGGACCCCTAGGGGACACCACTCATCATTGGCCTCCACTTGGACAGAGTAGCTGACCACAACCATATCACCTTTGTGATTTCTTTATATCCTATCAGAAAAAAAAAAACAAAACCTCACACTCAAAGCCCATTCTTGCATTATCTATAACTTATTCATGCACAAAAGAGTCCATATCACATACATATGGTGTTACAGCTGGAAAGATTACCATGGTGAAAATGGGAAAAGAAACTAACAGGGAAAGAATGCTCACCTATATCCAAAGATCTACGTTTACAGGAAAGACTCCACAGAGGAAGGATCTCCAGAAAGTATGGCAGTCAGCTCTTAAATGGAGTCTAGTGCAGCCAGGCTCCACCTCTTCTGGTCAGACAGCTGAATCACCTTCACCTGTGCACCCACTGCTGACTCAGTCCTTGCCTTAGGTGATCAATCAGTGGTTCAGGCTGTGACTGAACAGTTACCATACAATAGCAAAGATACCTAAAGTAGAACTTCAGTATAGTTACAAAACCTAAATCAAACCATTGTTTTTCCAGAGCCTCTCTTCCATATGCTATACCACTTTTAAAATACTCGGTAACTTTCCTGCAATAAATCATGAGATAACCATTAAAATATTTACCATTCCTCGTAGGACAGGGTAGTGATGTGTCAGTCTTTGTGACTGCGGTGGTTTTTCACCAGCACCATCACAGTGCTCTCTCACTCCTCCTCAAATAGATAGGTGGAGAAAATAGGATGAAAAAAATCTCATGGACCCAGATAAGAACTGGGTGGTCACTCACCACTTACCATAATGGGCAAAATAGAATTGGTGTGAGGGAAATTAATATAGCTTATTGCCCACTAATAACCAAAGTAGGGCAGTGAAAAAACAAAAGCAGATTAGAAACAGCTTCCCCACACCTCCTCCCCACAGGTGTCATAGGACATGGAGAATGGGAGCTGTAGTCAGTCCATAACACTTTGTCTCTACTACTCCTTCACTGTCACAGTCTCCCACTCCACGTGGGTCCCTCTCAAGGAATGCTGTCATTTCTGAACTGACCTTGTGTGAGTTTCCCATAGGCTGCAGCTCCACAAGGCTCCTCTCCTCAAGCTGCAGCTCTGGCTTGGGGCTGCTGCTATAGGATCTCTCCATAGGCTGCAGCTTCCTTTTGGAGCAGCTGGAGCTGACTCTCTTCTGATATGGAGCAGCTGCTGGGCTCTGCTCACAGAGACTACCCTTGTGGGCAACATTACCAAAATCTCACCACATAAGCCCAGTACTTTCTGGAACACTTAATTTGTTCCATTATGCAGTCTCTGCCAGCCAAACCTCTGAGGCTGGACAGGAGCTGCACAGTAAGCAGCCCTGAAACAATCTGTATACAAAATAAATGTTGCTTTGGCAAAGGCATTTTGCAAGTGCGCTCACTAGACTGATGAAGGACTTTTGAATTATGGTTTCTTTTCAGCTATGTCTTTTCCGTGTATTTGTTCAGATTTCTTCAGGAGAAACAAAGTCCCTCCTACCCCCACTTCACTGTTTCCTTTATGTTCCTATTGAGAAGATCTGATTCTGTGTTAGAAAGCTCAATTAGGAAACAAACAGAAAGTGGAGTTCCCAGAGCACGTGCTTTCCGCTGAGTGTCTGGGATGTCTCACACTGCAGTGAAAGAGGCAGAAGAATTAGTATTTCTGTTTTCTTCCTCAAGCTTTCCACAGATGTCACTCATGTCAAAACTAGCATGCTTACTCCCACAGAGAATTTTCGTCTGGAGAAAACTGGTATTTCACTTCAGAAAGTTATACTGTTACTTTGGTAAAAGGATAAATACATTCTAGGTTGTATGGTTTTTTTTTTTTTTTTTTTTTTTTTTTTTTTTTTTTGTTGTTGTTGTTGTTGTTGTTGTTCTTTTTTTTGTAGATTTACCAAATATTAGTACTCAAAATATTTGAATGCCTGGGATTACAGTGCTACATGTTCAAGAAGCTGGTATCCAATTCTTAATTATAACATCTGAGCTAGAGACAGGGATGACATAATTCCAGATTCCATAGCTGGATACTCCCTAGAGGAACCAGAAGATGTGAAGATAAATATTTTCTAGGGTATTCATCTTGCAGTCAAGTGTTATTGATTTCAATGACACCATTATTTATGACAACACTATTACTTTCAAATTCCTATCCCCAGTTTCAAAAGCACCAACTCTACTTGCCCTTAATTGGCTTCTTTGCACAACGCTTTCATTTTTTTCTTAGTCGTTTTCCCCTTTTCTGCTAGTTTTGGGTATTATGACATGTGAACACTAGTATTTATTCCCCCATTAGGAAAAATACCATGAAAGCTAGAAAAATACTGAATTTTCTTTTCAGAAATGACTGTTCTTTTCTTCTTTCTCTCTTTTTCTTTTCAGAGTATGTAGTTTTAAAATATTGGCTGCCATTGCTTTGACTGTAACAGCTGTCTGAGAGTGCTAAACAGATGTCTGAAGACTATACAGCAATGCCAAGACTCAGACATTGATTCTAATGGGCCAAAATCAAGAAGTTTTAAGTCTTGGCATGGGTAAGAAGAGGCTGTAGCTGACAATTTATAACTCACACAGGTATAAAACCTCCTGAAAAGCAGTAAATTATAGGTAGCTTTCTTGGAAAGCGAGGTGAAACCCGTTTTCCTTGAGCCATATCCACAGGTGCAGAAGTACCACCCAGAGGCCGCTATGCTGAGTACTGCACAGACAGAGGGAATTAGTTCCCATCCAGCAGAGTTCAGAGGCAAAAAAAGGCAAAGAATATACCAAAGCTTAAAAGAGATCATCCTCTGAAGTCATTTCTAGTACTCTCAAATGCAACTCACCACCTCACACTCCCTCACTGTCCTGCTCCAGCCAAAGCTGAGTGCACCCAGCTCCTCTAATGGTGCTAGAAGGGAGCATGATGTTAACAGGGATAAACAGAGAATCATAAAGACTGCTTTTAATTATGAATTAGACCACTCTGATGACTCAAAGAAATTCCAGGATGTTCTCTTTGCTTCTGGGATTTTTTCTATATTTTCTACTCAGTAGTAGTTCCTGAGGGTTCAATAGGCATACAGATATCAAGTGTGCAGACTGTGCAGATAACCTGTGGTCTACAGGCTGTAAGAATTCACCCTGCACAAGTCATGGAACATGGCAAAAACATGAATGGGAACATACTTTATTTCACATACCAGAGTATTAAACCATCTGGTTAAAACATAGGTAGTGCTGGGGGATAAATTAATCATGTCCCTCCTACTTTATGGGCAGTGCTCTTTTGAAAGAGAACACTACTATCTCCACAATTTTAAAAGATGAGAGTTTTGAGGGTGTCCGATACTAGCAAATGTGCTTTGAGAATATCTGCAGATTCTTATCCCTAAAATGCATGGAGTGTTTCTTAAATCTTCATTTTACTGATGTGGGAGATAAGAACTGAGTTGGTCAGGCCAGGCAAAGCGCATGAGACTTTGAAGATTTCGAAGTCAAAGAAGTAAATATAAAATAGCCTTACGATCTCTAGGACTATTCATCACTTACGCGGTTAAACAAAACATTTTTTAGTTAACAATTTCAGGCTTTGGCATATCAAACCTATCTAGGTGTCTTTATCCACTGTCGTTATGGAATGGAGTGTGTCTCTGCTGTTAAGCTGGGGTGAAGAAAAATGAGATAATCTGGTGCAGTGGAAGGGAAAAAAGAAGGCTACATTTCTCTCTTGCAGTCTGATACTTATTTGACTGGAAGCTAGAACTGTCTCCTCGGGTATCAGTAGTTACTGTGAACAACAAGCAACCTTAGGATCCTAAAGCAAAAACAATCAGGAAAACCGGTATATTTTATCCTAAATAACAGGATTTTTAAAATATCAAGAGAAGAAAGTGTATAAGTGACTCATACATGTTTAAGGAGATACACACTGAACACATACAACTTCCAACATGACATGCATCTCCATATCAAGGAGAAATACAGAGAGCTGTCCTACTGAATAAAAGCAAGGACTGTTTGCAGTTGACCACATTTTCATAAGCTAATGAGGCTCTATAAAGAAGAGAGACTGTCTTGTCAAACTCATAGAGGCATTTATTGCAAGAGGAAAAAGACTAGAAGACAATATTAACATGCTTGTCACTTTGCTTCAAGCAAAGACTGAGTGTTCTGTAAGAACCTATATAGGATACAGCAGAATACAGTACAACAGTGAAACAGTTCTTGTGACGCTCCTCCTACTTGTAAATATGTAAATATGTAATGAAGTAGTCTTGATGCCATCTACATATGTATATGCATGAATGATTTTTTTCCCCTGTAGAGCTATGCCCAAGATTTGCAAAAGAAACTATCCATTACACACTGAGAAAATGGGCCTGATGAATCACAAAATCCCACATAATTTAGTACATCACCTCTCAATGCAGCTTTTCAGTCTAATTTAAAGCATTATTGAAGATAACACATTCATTAAAACAGCTGTCAGCAAACTGCTCATTTCAATAGTTCATGGAAGTACCAGTCAAAGAGAAATAAAACACCACATGCTAATGATATGCAAAAAGGACAAAAAACAATTCCGTTTTGATACATCACTATTGAGATGTTAATTTGATTTTTTTTATGAGTACTGCTATCTGTGCTTTTATATGGTAAATATCACACATCACAAAACCAGTGTTTCTTTTCAGGAAAATTACAACATATGATAATTAAAAAAAAAAAAATAATCAATCCACATTGCAAAATAGCCAGTGCTGTTCAGCAAGGATGACTTGATGAGCACAGAATTATTATTTATTGTTTCTGTATTGTTACTTCTCTGTCAGTGAGTATTTAAGTACCAGATATTTGGATCCAGAGTTTTCTCCTGGTTTCTCAAACACTGGAATGCACTGGATTCTAATGTGCTGTCTCAGGTAAATATCCAGCAACTTCCATTGTAATTCAGCCTTAGGAATAACTGTTGGTCTCTGAACAGGACCAAATTTGTCACCCAATATTAAAACTCCTCTATGGATTTTCTCCACCAGTTTTGCAAGTCTCATTACACCAGTAATGCACACGGTAATATTGATAATAATTTAACTAAAGCATGTCATCAGCAATGGGCACACAATAGAAAAAGAAATAATAGAAAACAGATAATAACAGATTTTCTAAAGCTACTACCATTAATTCATAATCATTTTTCATAAAAATAATTAAACAAATTATGTACTGTTACATGACTCTTTCATACAACAGTATGTACACTCTTTACGCTAGGCTAAACAGACTGCATCATATTCAGTTGAGGGCCCAAAGGTTTAAATCATACAGAAATTCTTACCTCCTGTCTCTATTAGAGCAAGTGCAAACAAGGAGAGGAAATCTGGCAGTGACAGACATTCAACAGTCTAATATTAATCTATGGATTTGGCACTTTTCAGTTTTGTAAGCTCTGGTCAGGTCCAGCAGATTCCAAGCACTCAACTCTGTCACAGTCATAACTAAGAAGTCCTTTTCAGCAGAGAGGTAAGGGAGGAAAATCAGTTCTGAGTATTATGATCTAAAACACCTCAAAGCATAGAATAGCAGTCGATATCTTTGTTTTTCCAGTAAACCACTGAAATAATTATTTTAGGCAATTAAGGCAAATAACAATTAAGTGTCGCAGAAACATAACAGAGAATGAAGTCATTTCAGTTTCTGTACTTCAACAGATATACACTGTCCAAAAATAAAAAGCTTTCAATGTAGGCTCAAGAGAAGGAGGTCATCTGTCTCGATGTCAGTGTCTAGAGATCGGAACTATTTACCCCAGGTTCCTTTGTAAGCAGTGGAAAGTAAAATATCTGTTCATAACATGGCTAACCTCATCATAAAATAGATACTTTCAATCTGACCAACCAGTTCCTAAAATTATCTACTTCCTCACCGAAGATGTTTACATTTATAAGAGATTAATCCATCCCAGATATTTAGACAGGCAGCTTAATAGAGTAAGAAATACAAATACAACATAATGTCAGGCAAAGCACGTATTCTGTGACTTCATGGCAACTATGAAGTGTGCACTTCTTAAAAAAAATTCAACTGCTAATACCAGGATTACCAGGATTAAAGACATGGAGTGGGATACTACTGTGATAAATCAACTAACAATTTTTTTGTTTATAATGCCTCTGCCGTTAATAGAGGCAAATGTATTCTCCAAATATACTTGTTCTATCTTAAAATTATCATTTAAGTTATTTGGGAAGAATCTTCCTCTGGAGATTCACGTCTGTCTTCAAAGCATGAAGAACCCACCTCACTCTATATGAAACCAGTAGTTTTAACTGAATAACTGACTTCTAGATGGCTAATCACAGATGAGATTAATACCTTTCATGCTTCACAAAGATAACAGTTTCTTATTTATAAGGAGATATGGTTGCAATAAAAAGAATAAACAGCCTTCAGAACTGATGTGTAAGTATGTCCTACTCAGAAGTATGTCCTATTCAGAACATTTCAATAAATTATCATTATCATACAGTTTAGCAGTGATGAATATACTGAACAATAGATATCTTGTTTTGCTTTCTGGAATCTGTGTATGAAAAGGCATCTCAATTCTCATGGAATTCATTCCTTTGAGAACCATGCAGTAGGGCATTCTAGAAATAAAAACTGATTGTGTTCCTCAACAGTTTGAAGTAACAGGCCAATACACTTAAGTAAACACAAGTGGGACTTCTTTGTCTTACTTTCTGTATGTCAAAATTAGTAGATCCATTTTTCTGCAAGAGAAAAAAAAAATGATTAGAGATGCCAAACACAGAAGCAGTCTCTAAATGTCACACAAGTAAAACTTTAGGTCTTCTTTTTTTCTTAGAAAATCAATCGGAGTCTGATTATCACTTCTTGTCACTTGCTCAAAGATGGTATATACATTTATAAAACAATATGCATACTTTTGGTACTTCTTTCTACAGTTTTATAACAGTCACAATGCCTTATTTTTTAAATATGATTAATTGTAAAATTCACTCTTCCCATCAAATTTTGCAATGGCTTAACAACACTGTTCTTTAACAACACAAATTGATTAATTTCAGTTTACGTGATCATATCTCAAAAAAGCCCATAAGGCAACACTAGCTTATTATAACTTTTCATCTAGGTTTAAGTTTGTCTTTATTTGGTATAGAAGTACTGTTTTATAGTATTATGAATTAATAATTGCCATGAACAAAGAAGATTTAAAGTCTAACAACTTCTAGAGAAGTTAATGAAATAAAAGCTTCATTCTTTGCCACCTTGCATATTTGTTTACTCACTATCCTCCTCACAAAGTAAAGAATGTCAGTCAGTATAATATTTTCATTATAATTTAATAGATTTTTTTAATTTCCCTTTTTTTGAGGCAGACTTTGAAAAGGTTTGCATACACTGATATAAGCAAAAGCAACAGACTTGTAATATACTGAAGTTTTCTGAATGTTCCTTACGTTTTTTTCCTCTGTTCAATATAATAAATCTTGCATCTTACCCTTAATTTTGGAGTAGCAAGGCTCACAATGTACAGTTTGTCTGTAAATCCAAACACTGTCTCCTGCTTTCAGATCTTCCAGTGGTCTTTTGCATACTTCACACTTCAAAGTGCAAGTAAAAGTAAAAACAAAAAATAAAATAAAGCCCTTCATTACTATTCATTTCCAGCATACACATTCATAAAGCAAACATATCCAGATCAGAACAGCATTTGTGAGTACTGTAGTATCATGAATTCTGAATTTAAAAAAAAAAAAAAAAAAAAAAAAAAAGTATTTACATGAAATAAACTATAAATGTAAAAATAAAATTTTCAGACCTCTAGAAGTCAGATATCTGAATCTCGGCTGGTTGTCTAGGTTCTATTTATCATCACTAACCTCTCTCTCTCCCCCAGACATTTCCAGAGGGTAATTTCTATCTTCACTTAGAATTTGATTCTAAAACAAGATGATTCACCATTTCAAGATCCCCTTCTGTTTTCACTGAGTAAAGGAAGCATAATTAAACATCCAACTCAAAGTAGAACTCAAGGAATCTGAACTTTCTTATTGCAAACTTTTTATAATACTTTACCTCAACCATTATATATATTTCCCATTACTGAAGAATCCAGAGACTTCTTTAACAAATATAAGAAAAAGCTAAATTCTGAGCTAAATTTCCCTTGTTTCATGTATTGAACTGCACAGATAAACACAAAGACTGACTTCCCAAAGTCACAAGGAGAGCATACACTGAGTGTATCAAGAAACACTCTCATTCTATTTACAGAACAGAATTTTGAACATCAGATAATACTTAGTTGCTTAATTTTCTGCCAGCAATTTCATAAATGTGTAGTTACAGAAAACTTAAGCTGACTTTTGCTGGGAAAACACATTGCCAACTGGGAATATGTATCAAAAAGGATACAATCTAATCAGAAAGCTTAAATATTTAAAAAATAATTCAGCTGATAACAACAGAAGAAATTATCAGTCCTAACTGCATTCAAAAATAATTCCTCTTTATGTGGGTTCATCCATCTAAAAAGGATGGAAGCAAACCAGAGTTTGTATTTGTAATAACAATTTTGAGAAAGTATTACATAGTGATTGTCAGAGATGAAATTGCATTGCTAGTGCTCACTATTCAGGTTTGGGTGACTTTTCATGCAACAGCTGGGTAAAAGAGTAGGTCTGAGAAACAGAAACTATGGTAGACTGGGCAGAAAGTGATCTATGCTAATGAGGGGGTTTTGCACGAGTAATTATTGTTACAACAACAAATCATGCGTGAAGATGCAAGCAGAATTAAAATTATTTTATTATACAGCAGAAACTCTCCATAGCAACAAAATCTTAACTGATATTTTGATCCCAATGGGAAAGTGATTTCAACCCTATTATTTATGTAAATTCTTCTTACTAGTGCCTTTGAGTGTGGCTTTAACCGAGAAAATTCACAAAACTTCATAGAAAAGAAGTAGAATAAGATTTTACAGTACGATTAAACTATAAATAGGATATAATTCACTGTATCAGTCAGGAAGTATGTATAACTGAAGGCTTATAAATATGAATCACATTCAGGATATGTCCTGCTGTATCCTTTATCCTTCTGGTTTTTGCAAGAGAAAGGAAGGAGAGGCAAGGAGAGGGAGAGGGAAAGGACTGGGGAGGAAAGAGAAAGACTAGAGACAAGTACTTCCTAGATTATTCTTCTCCTTAAGTGTGCAAGCCTTCCTCATCTCCCACGCCTAAGGCCTAACTATTCACTTATTAGATGTGTAATATAACGTAAGTATATTTACATTTTATTTCGTAATAGTACGTGAAATTTTCTTACCTTGAAGCAAGTTGAATGACAGCAAATTTGCAAGGCATCTAAGATCATTTTGGCATCTATGCCCAAGGGCTTCCTGCAGTATGTACATATATCTTTTCCAATTATACTCCTGTGTATATAATATTACATCAGCTGTCAGAAAAAGAGCAATCTCAAGGAGAAAACTGATAATCTTAGTGCACTGTGTGTATTTTCAAGGCAGCTATATAGGACATATGTATAAAACAGCTCACCTAGTATTTATAACAACATCAATGTTTTTAAATATTTTCTCTTTTTTTTTTTTGCATCCTTGTAAGCCATCAGTGTATGTATTAGCTAGGTGCAACTGTTAGTGCTGCTTTGTATTATAAAATTAACTGGTCCTGCTCCTTTCCAGTCAATGATAAAACAATGTATTCATTTCTTAATCATCCCCAGAGTTTCTTATACTTACACTGAAAAGGATACAAGTTTTTATGATTCTATGCATTTCCAAGTAATGGAAATATCCAAATTATCTGAACTGAAAGCAGTGTGCACATTTAATTTTTTTTTCTTCTCAAGAGATATTACTGATTTGAACAAATATTCTTCTATGCTTGGGAAAATATTTACTGGTGTGAAAACATGAAATTTTTAATCAGCATTATCATGTGAACCTATTCTACCACATCCGGACTTAAACTTGGTCACATAAACACTATTTTCAAAAAGGAATGGAATTTTGCAGAGAAAGTAGCCAGCAGAGTTAGAAACCTACAGAATCACAAATCCAACTCTACCACTTAAGGCCCTGGCTATTGTTTCTAGATGTTTTATATGTCAGCTCCAACAAGCCCACATAATATTAGGCTGTCAAACTGTAGTAATGATTTGAAGACAAGATCCTACTAAAAGGGAGTGCTGTATGAAAAGCTGTCTGACTAGCCTAATGATGACTTCCACTGCTCTCTTTTGTTCGAACACCTGAAAAGCTAATGTAAAACATCTGTGCCCTTTGATACTGCATAATATTATTAATGTGTACTTACTGATCAGAAGTAGAGTAAACAGTTTTGATAGTATTTCCAGTTATATTTTCATCATAGGCATGACGTGATGAATTTCTGCAAGGCAGTAAATACATAAAAATTATGAAAAGCTACTTTTTATTGTAAAAGGCTTCACTACACTGATCATATGGAAATTAAACAAATGTAACACTGTTGTAAAAAAAAAAAAAAATCCTATTTGGTTATGAGTTCTTTTTTTGCTTTCATCAAGACATATATATTAAACAAGAAAGTGTAACTTGGACATAAAGTATCCCTACACTGTGTTTATGTGCTGTATGATTCTTTAGTATTTCAAAATGAAATACTCCACAAGGCTACTGAGTGAAATCTACACTACAGCAATGGTTTTGCCTGTGCTCATATCTCAGCCTATATTATACTTACTATGAAATGGTGACATGCTGCGTTTTTGCAATTTTTGTCTTCTTTCACTAGTCCTCTGTCCAACTGTCAAGTAGCCGAACAAAATTACAGTATGTCCTTAGAAGTAGACTGAGGGTCTTTGTAATACAGGTTGTTTCATGTGTGATTTGCATTCCTTGCGATAACTGAATTTAGCTGCCAGAGCAGTTAATTTTTCCTTTTTTTTTCCTGGTTACTTTTACTTAACTGTCAGTTTTGTTTGGCATGGAAAGGATGAGCAACTATATGACAGCTGAACAAGCCATCTTGTCATATATGTTTTGAACATTTCTGAACTGATTTAATTACCCTCATTCTTCCAGAAATTCATAAGGTATATGCTAATTCGTGGAATCATAAAATCACCAAGGTTGGAAACAATCACCCAAGATCATCCAGTCCAAGCATCCCCTATCACCAGTATTTCCCACTAAACCATGTCCTTCTGTCCACTACATCTAAACATTTCATGAACACTTCCAGGGATGGTGACTCAACCACTTCCCTGGGCAGCCCACTCCAGTGCTTGACTACTCTTTTGGAGAGGACGTTTCTCCTAACATCCAATCTGAATCTACCCTGGTGCAACTTGAGGCCATTCACTCTAGTCCTATCGCTAGTTACATGTGAGAAGAGGTCAACCCCCACCCCGCCACAACCTCCCTTCAGGTAGTTGTAGAGAGCATTAAGGTCTCCCCTGAGCCTCCTCTTCTCCAGACTGAACAATCCCAGGTCCATCAGCCACTCCTCATAAGACCTGTGCTCCAGACCCCTCACCAGCTTCATTGCCCTTCTCTGAATACGAACCAGGGCCTTGAGGTCTTCCTTGTAGTGAGGGGCCCAAAACTGAACACAGTACTCAAGGTGAAGCAATTTAATGTAGTTACAACAGTCATGATAATTTAACATAATTATTACGTTTTATATCAATCTTGCATGCTATTATTCAGTAACGCTGTGAAATTTTTTTATACTTATATGTGCTTGCAGAATGTCTTTTCAGGTAAAGTTAACAGACTGACAACATGCATGCGTGGGGTATTATACAGCCCAGATAGACCTTACACTTACCTGTCTTTTTACATTTGTTGTAATATAAAAATAAATTTGTTGTATTTTATGCAACACCAGAAATCTATTAAAATTGTACAGATAATGAGAAATGTAAATGATAAATATTTTATATTTTACAGAACATCATAATATGCATGCCATTTAATAATAATGCAAGCCTGGATTTGCTTGTCACAAAAAACTTCCTCAGATAAACATGCAACGATTTCCTCTTACCAAGAGACATGGTTTTTAGCTAGTTCTATTTCATATCCCTATAACACATTTTTTTTCCCACTCAGAATTGAACGCTTTGAGTGACAGAGTCCAAATAGAGAAGGAGAACTGGTTTTAAAAATAATTTATACTTGATTAAAAAGTCAGAAACCCAGGTCACAGCAATAATGTTTGGGGTAAGAGATGAAACAAGGGCTAAGATTCATCCCATACAGCTTTAGGAAATTCAGAAGCCAACTCAGTGAATAATGTAATTTTTTCTTTACAGCCTTGGAAAGAAATAAGCTCTCCTACAGCACGGTGCATCTAGCATCTAAGTAACATGCTGGATTACCTTTGCTCTACTGATTATGTAAGAATTTTGGCTCAACAACTCTTCTAAATTTCATGTGGCCTCAGCCACATCTCTAGAGCTACACAAGGTATACCTAGCCCTGCCCACTCTGTGCACTGAAGGTTTGCTTTGTGGGCTTGTATTTCTGCAGGAAAAATTTGAAAGGAGTCTGGCATTATATCAGAGACCAGTGTGAGGTTTTCAAATATCCCTGAAATTTCTTGCACAAAGATGCTTTCTCTTTCTTTCTTTTTTTTTTTTTTTTTTTTTGGCAAGAAATTGCACTTCAAATGTAATGATTCTCAATTAATTGTCCACTGTACCTGCTCTTTCTTCTGCTGTCACTGAGGTAGGTTACTTCTGGGACATTATTTGAAGCACTTGGAGGATTTTCATATATTTGCTTAGTTATGCTAAAAAAAAAAAAAAAAAAAAAAAAAAGCAACAAGAAAGCAGTATTTATAGAAGTCCTTTTCAGCTACGCAGCCTTCAGTTACACTTTTGCCCATAAATGGAGAAGCTTATGTTAGTGACAGCAGTTAAAGAAACCTAATGTTTTCCTACTGTTGCTAAATTGTTGCTTGTGGAAAACAACAGAATCACAGATATGTAATTTTAAGCCCTCAGTTTATGCTAGTAGATAAATACATATCAGAAACTTCCCCTAACTTAATTGAACCTTAGTTTCCTCGAAGTGCTCACTGAGGTTTTCAGCTGTAGAGTTTCAATGGTTAATAATATTCTGCATGTTCTTAGCAATATTCCACAATATTTTATTCTCATTTTTACTGTACTTCAGTTCCAGCTCAGAAATTTAATATTTTATTTATATATATACATACATACATATAAATACTAGACTAATGTTTTCATCAGTAATGATGAGCTAAACAGATACAGACTCTTATTTAAAGAAGCAGGATTATGATTCAAGCAGAATAAACCTTGTCTTCTGCAATTTTCCATCAGTAAAGATAATATGCCATCAAACAGGAATAAACCTTGTCAGATAAATTATAGGATTTAAGTAATAAGTGCTAATAATTTTCTTCACAATTTTACAAAGCATCTCAGACAAAAGCTACTCTTGTTTGGTTTGCCAAATGTTATATTCTGAAACAATTTGATGATTATAAGCCTTAACTCTGGATGTTTGGCCTGCATTTTGATTTATTTGCCAAGGTCTAAAGCTTTGCTAAATGAACCTCACTCCATGCTGGTCGCTGTTTTATATGCACAGCATGCTGTGTGAAGCAGCACCCTCTATTGTGCTTTAGTACTAATCTGGCAGGCTTCTTTTCAGAACTAAAAGAGAAACTCATTCACTTTACATATTCAGTGTTATGTTCCTCTGGTCTGTTAAGTGGAACTGCTAGGATAAAAATGCTTATATTAAAAAAAAAAAAAACAAACAAAAAAAAACAGAAGTACTTCTGTATTCAGATAGCTAAGTTTTTCCTCATAATTTATATATACAACTAAATGGAAGACTACAAAAATACCACATGAATGGTACCTGATAAGATAATACTGCCTTCACATTAGTTGACAAACAAGCATCAATGATTTTTTTAAGCTGTGAATATGTTTGCTTATGTTGCTTTGCTAATACATGCAATATATTTAATTAATCTGGCACATTTTATAAATAATATACATATCTTACACGAGTTATGCACATTCAGCTTATTTGCATTAGGTGTTAGTGTTTTTAGATACCACGCTGAACAACTACAGCTCTTGCTATGTGGTCTTTAAATTTTAGAGAGAACTATGAACTGAGTCTCACCTTTTTCTACTTTGGTCATCAGGAGACTTCACTTCCACATGATCACCAAGGTCCTCATCTCTGTGAAAGTTAGAAACACCTCAAAATTAATCAAGTTATTTGATTAAATTTAAGCATATTACATGCGTTGAATTTTGTATGTTGAAAAAGAAAAAAAAAGTGTATGCATTTAACAAGGGATGTTCCTGACTATACTGAGTGTATACTACAATTTCTATAAATCTTTACTTATGAATTAAAAGTTATCATTTCTAACTACAGTATTTTTCTGGTTCTCTCCACTGTGTCACTACAGAGATACGACATGCTACTCAAAAAATCATATACAGAATCATAAGAGGGCTGAGGCTGGCAGGAACCTCTGGAGGCCATCTGGTCCAACCCCCTACTCAAGCAGGGCCACCCAGAGTAAGGTGCCCAGGCCCAGATCCAGGTAGCTTCTGAAGACATCCAAGGAGAAGACCCCACAATAAGCTTCTCCATTTATGGGCATTCCTCTCTGGGAAACCTGTGCCAGTGCTCCATCACCCAAATGGCATAGAAGTGTTTCCTGGTGTTCAGATGAAATCTCTTGTGTCCCAGTTAGTGCCCACTGCATCTTCTCATCGCACCATTGAAAAGAACCTGGCTGTGCCTTCTCTGCATTCTCCTCTCAGGTATATTTAAAGTAGTTGATACGGTCTCCCAAGACTCCTCTTCCCCAGGCTGAACAGTCCCAGCTCTCTCAGCCTCTCCCCAGAGGATAAATGCTTCAATCCCTTGATCATCTTGGTAATCCTCTGTTGGACTCTTTGCAGTATGTCCATGTCTCTCTTGCATCATAGGACTGTATGATAAGTCAGGTTGGAAGGGTTCTTCTGAGGTCTCTAAACCTCTGAGTTCTGACCAGCTCACTCAGGATTTTTGCAATTGACCCCTGAAAACCTCCAAGGACAGAAGTAGCACAACATCTTTACCCAAGCTCCTCCACTGCTGAACCTCCTCCTTACATAATATATGAATCTCCCATTTCTATTTATGACTCTTACATCTCATCATCTTGCCACGCTACAGCTGAAGAGTCTGTTTACATCTTCTAAGTAGACTATATAATTATGTCATTTTAACTTGGTAATATGGTTATATTTAGTGCAGGCACCAGCGCAATGGTTGCCAAAATGTGTTATTTGCTTTGCAGTTATATCCAGCACTGTTTTGTCTTACTACAGCTTAGGTCTCCATATATTCTCTAGGACCTTATGACAACATTTATACTAGTAACTACTAACTCATTGGCTGTGAAACAGCTGATTTGATAACAACATTTCATATTAAGTGGTCTGTAATTAAAAAACATGGTCATGCACTGTTTAAGTTTGTATAAGATAAAATCAAGAACTAAGTTTTTTCCACACTAAATTATTTATGTTTACCATCCCGTATTTAATGAGGAATTTTAAGTAATTAGCTCAAATTCAAGTATTAATTTTGACTTCCGTCATTCCTTTATAGGAGAGAGTGTATTAGTATCATTATCTAACCAAAGAGCTTTTAGAAGTATGTAAGGGAAAGAAGACAGTCTTGCCTCTTATTTTTCTGAGAAGCAGCATTTATTTCAGTAAAATCCTCAACGTCTTTTACTCTGAAACAACAAACAAATAAACTGTTAGAATATTCTCTCTAGCTGGAAAGAGGTAAAGAGTAATAATTTCTTTAAACTGACTTTATATTGGTTCACCTAACTAAAGGAAATGATGATCTATGAAAAGCACTGTAACTATTGCAATAAATCTTAACTCTTTTTAGGTAGAGGAAGAGAGCAAAAGAAAAAGGTGCACTAGCTCTTTGAAGCTGATAACAGAGTTGGAGACTTTAATCCAGAATGAACTTATTGATTGTACAGCTCTGGATGTCTTCCAGAATTAAGCAGTGCTTCAAAGTCTTGGACTCTGTCCTAATACATTCTCTGTAAATTAAAATTCGTAAAAAAGAAAAAAAAAAAAAAGTCATATTCAACCTACAGTTTAGTACTAAACTGTATACAAATTACACAAATTTATATGTATGTCTACATATAGACAAGATTGTGTATTAAAAAATGGATGATCACATGTTGGCAACATTTATGTGCTGTTTCTTGAAGTTATCACACAATTCTAGTGTAAGATGTGAAAAAGGCTACATAGCACTTAATAGCACAGTACATTATATAGCTCTTCTAGCACTAGCAGTTCCTTTTCTGTATGCTGAAGGACTGATTATAGACCATAAGAAATTTGGCCTGAAACAAAGTGAACTGACATGCAGTTCGAAATCGTAGGTTCAAGCTGCTCTTCATGGCTCACTTCCCTTGGCTGACTGAAATGCTTTGTTACATGCTATTGGAGCAATACTTACCATCCGTGATTTATACAATATTTTGTTCAATGCACCTTCCCTAACTATATTAATATATTTCTGTAATAGATTATTGAGAAGCATGTTGGGTATGTATAGAAACTTGCCATCGATAACATTTGCTCAGCTGACAGTGCATGCACCAATTAATTCATCTGTGTTTTTATGTTTATGTTAATGTCATTCTGTATAAAGAATGCCTCTTACTAATCTAGAAACATTGTAGAGTTTAGCAACATTACCTTTTCTGACATTCACGTTATTACAAACTAGAACTGCCTTAGAAAAGTAGGGCCTGAAAAGTTTTGAAGACTTACTCCTTGTTGCTTGTGAAAGACTGCGGATTCACTTTGATGAGATCATCAGGGTCTTGATTCCTTTACAGACAGAACAAAAAAAAAATCAAATCAAAATGTATATATCCTGCTACCAGTTAGCCAATACATATCATTTAAAATGAAATTATAATTCACATTCTTAATGAAAGTTGAAATTAAACTGATATAAAGTTCAAAGCACACATCACTGTTATAATTCAGATAAATTCATAGACTCAGACATGTGTACATGAGCACATACTCCTGCTAGAATAAAATCACCAGATTAGGTTTTGGAAAGAAGTTACACCTTTTATAATTTTCCTGCTGAGCACATCACAGGCAGCTTCAGAAAGTGTCTGTCCTTTAACTTGCTAAGACATAGAAAGTATCTTTACCAGAAATAAAATCAGTCAAATATTTCTGACACCTGCATGAATAATTCCTTACCTAAAAAAAAAATAGTTACAGACTAACCCTTTCAGGCCAAAACAGTCAGTTGGAAAATTTAATAGTATCAAATCCAAAAATGGGGTGTTGCTTGAATGCTTTTATCTCTTTTCATAGGATTTAACCAGTGTCAATATGCTTCTGCATAATACCTCACGTCCATGAAAAATCCATTTTTCCAACTGAAAACTCCTGTACTGCAAAGCTTATAGCAACATTACCAAGAAATTACCATCTAGTAAACTTAACTCATTACAACAACGAATAAATGATTTAAAAAAAAAATTTCTTAAGTAGGCAATTTGGAAAAGAATGGTGCTTATAATAGTATGACAGTGCTCCACTATTGATAACTTGATAGCCAACAACTATATTCCATATGAGATTTCGTTCTGCACAGTTCTGCCATGAAACAGAATCTTAGTGAAACGTAAAGACTCTGAAGGATAGTATGCTCTGCATAGTATGGATATCTGCAGGATAGTATACTCTGCAGATCCTTTCAGGGTAGTATGCTCTGTCTGATTTTCAAAGGAATATAGACAGCTGGGGAACTACATTCCAATTGGCTTTTTCTAAGACTTAGCTCATTTAAACAGATACACTTGACATTTTCACTCGAGGTATATATATAAAATATTGTATTCATTTTTTTGCAATTTTCAATTTGGCATTTTTAAAATATTTCCTGGGGATTTTTCTTTTAAACAGACAAATTAATTGAAGACATCTTTCTATTAAAAAAAAAGCCAACAGACATGGTGTGCTCCTACCAAAAGGCCAAATGCTAGAACTCTAGAACTTTTTGTATTAATCTTTGAAAGAAGTAATAAAATGTCTTAATGGTTTTCTATCAAATGCATCTTCGTGGAATTCATAATACTATAGAGATTAATTATAGAGCACTGGTCACATATTTGTTGTTCATCTAGATAGCATTTTTCTGTCAACAGGGAACAAAGAAAATTCCTCAAGATAAAGATTCTTCCTTAAATGTCTGATCTTCCTGAATAACTCAATTTGCTTTACCTTAAATTGCTGTGTTTACTTTGCATAGCTTTTAAACAACAAAAACTAGAATTAACTGCAATAGTTCACCATTTATGTACTGCATTTTTATAAACAATGACAAAAGTAGATTTACAAGACTACAATAATTTAAGAATCATTGTTTCCGAATCAGAATCACAGAACTGCAGGGGTTGAAAGGACTACAAGAGTTCGTTGAGTCCAATGCCCCTCCTAAAGCAGGTTCCCTACAATAAGTTGGCATTCTTATTGCACACATAGGCATCCAAAAGGGTCTTGAATATCCAGAGAAAGAGACTCTACAACTTCTCCAACCAATCTGTTCCAGTGCTCCATCATCCTTGCCATAAAGTTCTTCTGCATGTTAGTATGGAACTGCCTATGCACAAGATTTAGGCCATTACTCCTGTCACTATACACCATCAAGAAGAGCCTGGCATCACCCATTTGCCTCCCACCTCCCTTTAGATATATATTAACATTTATTAGATTCTCCTTCAGTCTTCTTTTTCCCAGACTGAACAGACCAAGGTCACTCAGCTTTCCCTCACATGGGAGATGCTTCAGGCCCTTTATCATCTTAGTGGTTCTCTGCTGGACTACTTCTAGGAGATCCCTGTCTTTTTTGAACTGGGGCTCAAAACTGGTTGCAGTATTGTAAATGTGGCCTCACCGGTACAGAGTAGAGGGGGAAGATCACTTCCCTTTACTTGCTGGCCATGCTCTTTTTAATGCACCCAAGGGTACCATTGGGGTAGAAAGGTTTCTACTGGCCATATCAAACCCTGATGCTGAGTTTGTTCCATTCTGTAGACTTCAAACCGTCATGATTTCACAGACAGCAGCATTTTTTACCTCTTCACACATTATTTTCAATATTTTGTGTATTAGAATGTACTGACTGACTAGTGAGGAAGACTTGCTGTCCAAAGGGATTCTAACAGAAGTAATAAGTCCAGGCTGTACTCACACACCCTGACAACAAGAAGCCTGATTTACAGAAGGGTAACACTGAAGAGTCTTAGAGAGGGGATGGAGAGTTGTAGCTGCAGCTTTCAGCACAAAAACACATGCTGACCGACCTGTTCAGCTACAGTTTATGGCTCCTATGGAACAAAGTATGTACAGAACATGACCCTCAGAAGATTTTAAATTTATTGCGCTGTTAAGATTTCACTAACTTTCAACTTTGAGAAACAGCTGCTTGACAGGACTGCAGAAAGTAATCAGGGCTGACATCTTGCAAATTCCTTGCTTTATGGTAGCTGGGAAGAGCAAAGGAGAAGTCACAGAAGAATATCACCCCAGGCTGTTGGTTCCAGCACAGCTCAGATTAGTAGTCACTGAAGTTAAAGAGTTCATAGAATCATAGAATCACAAGGTTGGAAACTACCCGCAAGATCATCCAGTCCAACCATCCTCTCATTACCACTGCTAACACAGGCTACTAACCCTTATCTTGTAGCTCCTCATCCAGACGCCTCTTGAACACTGTCAGTGACGTGACTCCCCCCACCTCCCTGGGCAGGCCATTCTAGTGCCTGACCACTCTCTGAGAGAAAAAGTTCTTTCTTATGTCTAATCTGAACCTCCTCTGGTACAACTTGCGGCCATTTCCTCTGGTCCTGTTTGTTGCGTGGGATAAGAGGCCAAACCCCTCTTCACCACAGCCTCCCTTCAGGAAGTTGTAGAGTGCAATGAGGTCTCCCCTGAGCCTCCTCCTCTCCAGACTAAACAATCCCAGCTCCCTCAGCCGCTCCTCATAAGACTTGTGCTCCAAACGTTTTGCCAGTTTCGTTGCCCTTCTCTGGACACGTTCCAGGACCTCAATGCCTTTCTTGTAATGAGGGGCCCAAAACGGAACACAGTACTCGAGGTGCGGCCTCACCAGTGCTGAGTACAGGGGGATGATCACCTCCCTGCTCCTGTTGGCCACACTATTTCTAATGCAGGCCAGGATGGTTGGCCCTCTTGGCCACCTGGACACACTGTCGTCTCATGTTCAGCCGAGCATCAACCAACACCCCCAGGTCCCTTTCCAGCCTCTCATCCCCAGGCCTATAGCGCTGCATGGGGTTATTGTCTCCAAAGTGCAGGACCCGGCACTTGGCCTTGTTGAACCTAAGTTATTACTTATAAAAGGATAAAATGTAGAGTGGGGCAAACTGCAGGATTTAGTGGGTCAATCAGAATTTAAATGATTATGCACTGGGCATACTTTCAGAGATTTTTGTAATTTCTCTTGCCCTTAGAAAAATTACATTAACTATTATAATAGAACAGTGGCAGTAACTTCAGATAAAATCATATAACCCAATGTCACGTCTACTAATATTTCTAAAAGAGATGTCAAGTATTAAAGTGGGGAAGAGACTAACCCATAAACTCATTTATTAAATAAGCTCTTTTAATATCAGAAAATTTCATAGAGTAAAAAGCCATTGTGGGGAAGTATTTCCCATTTCAGATACAAGTGTTATTTGAAAAATGAATTGGTGTCCAAACATGGCTGAATGTAATATATTCTTAAATTTGTCAGCAGTTTTTTAGGCTATAGATGACAATGGAAAACCACAGTATAAATTTTCTAGGATTACATACAGCAATTTAGACAAAATTGGAGAAATGTCTTTCAAATATGGTAGATGGCTTGTAATAGATACTGACATTTCTCATAAGACATTCTGAAAGATGTCCCCTCCAAACACAGTATTTTCAGAGACAGCCATTACACCACTGTAAACATTCTGCCTGGGGTGAATATTTTTAGAAATTGATGGGAAGGAAGCAGGTTAGAAAGCTTGCCAGGAAAAGAATATATTGTTTGTTCATAAATTCAAGAAGATTAAATGCATTAATACAACCTCAGGACGTGACTAGATTTTTTTGGAGCACCCAGTTCAGGATAACAAATACATTTTTTTGTATTTTGCATTAAAAAAAATAAAATATTTGGAACACAGTGCAGAAAGTTTTATTATCATATGTTATATAAAATGATTTGATTAAATATAGTATTGACAAAATTAATAAATTTCTTAAGTTGTAGATGTGCTTGTAATTATCACAAAAGTATGGACTGCATTTCCATTGATTCATTTGCTTTTCCATTAATAAGTGACCACATCCAAGAGAAAAAAAGAAATAATTTTTTTTAAAAAAAGCCTTTCTGCTCTTAACATTCCCTTACAGAAAAGTGCCTAAAATAGCACTTTGGGTCTACAAAAAAGGCCCAGTTTGAAAGACAGAAAAACTCTTGTGCAACTGGGCCATCATGGGCCTCATTCCAAAAATCTTTTCAACTATGAATTTTGCTGGTGCTTTCTTTTTTCATACCTCTAGCTCTTTGTGCGAAATAGGATTAGAGATGTGATAACTAATGAAGAGAATCCAGCAGAAAAAAAAAAGAAAAAAAAGAATGCCAACGAAGATAAATATGTTTAAAAAATTGCTATCAAGTCAAGCTGCATGCAAAAATTATTGGTTATTTAACCAGATAGTTCTCTTTTGCCACATCTTCAACACCTGTGCTTCTCAGACACAAACTAAAAGGAAATCATTCAGATAAAAAGCTCTCCAGA